AATTTTGATTGAATTGGAATATAGATGCATAAATATATTAATAATGAACATGAAAATGATAATTATAATGATAATGATTATGAAAATTAAAATACTAATAAAAATTTAAATTTGAATAATAATGATATTGATGATACCATGATAATGATAATGCTAATGCTAATGGCAATGAAAATGCTAATGCTAATGCTAATGCTAATGCTAATGATAATGCTAATGCTAATGGCAATGCTAATGCTAATGCTAATGCTAATGCTAATGCTAATGCTAATGCTAATGCTATTGCTAATGCTAATGCTAATGCTAATGCTAATGCTAATGCTAATGCTAATGCTAATGCTAATGCTAATGCTAATGCTAATGCTAATGCTAATGCTAATGCTAATGCTAATGCTAATGCTAATGGCAATGCTAATGCTAATGCTAATGCTAATGGCAATGCTAATGCTAATGCTAATGATAATGCTAATGCTAATGCTAATGCTAATGCCAATGCTAATGCTAATGCTAATGCTAATGCTAATGCTAATGCTAATGCTAATGCTTGCTAATTTCAGGCAGAGTATGCTCTGTTCGCATTTGCTTCGATGCACTTTATTTTCGACTTATTGCCCCACCAAAGAAGGCGAAATAACGAAAAAAACGCGTTTTTAATTGTTCAGTGGCTTATCGCATGTTTTTGGCCATTTTGGGAGCGCAAATATGTTGAAAAAATAAACAATAAAAAAGACAACAACATTGAGCGCATTACTATGTGTGAGTGTGTGTGTGTATTACTTGCGTGCCAATTGGGCATTAAATTATGTGAAAATCAGTTTTCGCATTCGCTCACTTTTTGGCCCGGCCAGCAGCTGGAGACGGTCCAAAGAAATTGCAACCGATTATCGCCTCTGTTTATATATTTTTTATTTACTCTTGCTGTATTTTTACAGTGCATAGTGCACTGTGAGGCAATCAAATGCAGCGCAGCGGGCGGCCAACACCTTTGTTGTTGTGATGATGCTGCTGCTGAGGCGGCTGCTGAGGCTGCTTACTGCAGTCGCAGCAGGCAAATAGTCGATATATCATTTATATATATATATCATATATCATATATATCATCATCATATTAGTGCATCTGATTCTGCATCTGCAGTTACATCTGTATCTCCCTCTGTACCTCTCTCTGTATCCCTATATAGTATATCCATGCCTAAATCTGTATCTGTATCTTCATATGGCTCTATATATCTGCATATATACAGATGCGTATCTTTACTTGTTTGTCTGCACCTTCGTCTGCATCAGCATCTATCTCTATCTACACATTGCCAGCATCAACGGCACATCAAGCGCATGTCTGCAACCGACAGCAACAACAACAATCTTTGGCTCGTCTTGCTGTGCCACAAAGCAAATGCTGCAATGCCGTTACGAACAACACATTTTGAGTCATTTGGCAGCGCGCGCGCTCGCTCGCGTTCGCTGGCTCACAGAAATACAAAAATTAAAGAAAGAAGGTTTATTTCCGCTGACGTGCCTTAATTTCAGCCAGTTGTGAATACATTTTTGGCCAGAGTGGCTTTTGGTTTGAGGCCGGCTGGCTGTCTGTCTGTCTGTCTGTCTGTCTGGCTGGCTGGCTGGCTGGATGAGTTTCACTGTGTTAAAAGCGGCGCTATGATTGCGCCTACACAAAACAGCTCTCGGGTGTGCGCTAAGCTTCAAGCGGGCGACGTGACTTGGGAGAGTGATTTGTTCAAGTTTTTAATGGATTGAATAACATTTTGAATTACCATGTGAAATACCATGAGGATAAGCAGTTATAAGTGAGTTGTAAATGAGAGTGAGAGCTGTCATGGCATTCAAATGTTGTTTATAGACTAAGCCATAAAATATTTGACAAAGCTCAAGATGTAGCTCAAAATTTACAAGCTACTTGTAAAGTAGAGTTGTAGCATGTTTGTTGACAAAAAGAAATATGATTTGACATGCAGACAAACTTTTGCAACCAGCTTATAAACTAGAGAACTCATAGTCCAAAAGAGTATTTAAGACTTCGCCATAAACTTGAACACGTTTATTGTGTGGGAGACGGCGACTCAGAAGAATGTTAATGCGAAACTGCCTGGTAGATTGGCTTGTTGGGAGTCTTTCAGCTCTTCAGCTCTGCAGCTCATGCGCCTGACTTGTTGTGCCTTGATTAGCGAGCGAGTGCTAAAAAAAGCAGAGCTCGTCGACGGCTAAGGCTAACAAGTTGGCTGCCAATGCCGTCTAGACAAAGCATATGGATATGCCGATTAGCACATGTCAATGGGCAATGAGTCAGGCAGCCAGGCAGGATCAGTGAGATCGAGGTTCAACTGCGTGACTGCGCCAGAGCGCAAGGGCGTGGTTTGATCTTATTTTGGCCTAGGACAAATCAAATTGCTGCTGCTGCTTTGTTGTCAATGCATTTTATGCATAATTAGCTAACCAGCGACAGTGACGAATACATCAAGCTGACCAAACACACAAAAGGAAGCAGCAACAACAAGAGGCAGAGGCAGAGGCAGAGACAGCGACGGCGACAGCGACAGAGGCAGCGGAAATTAAACGCACTGAAACGTTTCGAACATTACGTTTTGGTCGCAGTTGTTGTGAGTTGTGGCCAGATTAGCGTGACAAAAAGGGCGTTGCAGGCAGTGCTACGCATTTAGCTTGTTTATAGCTGAAATTAGTTAGTGTGCATGAAAGCTCTATTTGGATGATCTATGATTAATTTTGAATGGCATATGTGGCATAGCTGGGAATTGAATTATATTCTACCATTTGCTGACTTTCTAAACGACTCTTAGAGTTTCATAAAGTATTTGAACAGAGAATTTGAATAGTACAAAATAAAAAATATATTTATTAAAGTTATTAAATTGATAACTTTTGTGAACTGAGAAATTGATCAAACCAGCCTCGCATATATTTTCTTTTATTTTAAATAACTTTCCATTAGCAATGGCTATAAATATACTGTCAAAATATATTATAGATATCAGCTTAAAAAATCAAAATATGTTAGAAATTATTGCATAAAAAAGTTTTAAAAATTGCTGCCTTCTGGCTTTGCTACCAGTTTTAGCTTGTTTTCTAGCCTTTTTCTAGCTTCTGACATGTGATCAACACTGATTGCAGGAGTCGATAGCTGAGCTGCATATCAAAAATGTTTGAGGTGAGCGTCCGCTGTGTGCAGAGGATGTTGCTGCTGTGCCTTTTGACCAGCTACGCAGCAGTAACAGCAACAGTTACTGCTGCTGCTGCTGCTGTTGCTTTTGATTTATTTTGACCACTCACATATGCAAAACGCATTCTAATGGAACAGCAGCAGCAACAGCAACAACAACAAGGGCTACATTGTAATTTGTAGTTACGCTCTGATTTTTGAGTTTCATTTGTAGCTTCACCTGCTGCCATGAATTGTGCTTATAGTTATTGTTATTATTATCATTATTGTTGCTGCTGCCGCCGTTGGTTGCACGCTTCGCGCGTTTAAGAATGAAAGAGCTGCTCATTGTTTCGGCTTTCGGCTTCCATAAGCGGAAGTGCGGCTTTTGCTGGAACGGAAATGCAAATGATATTGTAGACAATGCCCGGGCTCAGCTACGCGAATTGTTTTACATGTTTTGCACTACCTGAGCTGACCAAAGCCTATCAATTACAAAGTGAACGCTTGTAAAAGTAGCTGCATTTAAATGTAGTTCGTAGAACCTAGCTAAAGTGTCTTCAGAGTGCAAAGGCTGCTCGCATAGAGAGGCGTTGGCTGTAAGAGTGCTGTCTTTTTATTGCCTTGAATATATTTAAAGCTGTTTCGAAAGGGTATATTAGGCTTGTAGTGAGCAGTTGGATAGTTGATCATGATATGGGCACTCATCAACTATAATCTGCGATCTCAATGATCAATCCATAACTGACTCCTCTTATTAGCTGAATACCAAGTAAAATTGATTTAAAGCTTGGTTTGCTCAGCTTACAGATCTGGGATCTACTAATAAGTAATGCATTACTATGAACATCTCGGAATTCTGTGGCATCCAGAGATATCATATTAGGTATGTAGACTCGCTTGCAGCAGACTCATATGCTAGATGACTCGTTTTTTGAATACCTTTCCTTGCCACGCTTCAGCAGCAGGCACATATCTAGACACTCAGAGCATCTCCTAGTCAATCACTCGTTTTTAGACCAATCTTACTTGTTTTACCTACAGCAAACTGCATTTCATTAGATCAAAAATAAAACGTAGGTTGTCCTACGCCCTTGCAGTCAGCCAGCCATATGGATGCAATGGCAAGACGCATCTAGGAAGTGCAGATGCCCAAGCTAGATGTCGCCAGAGCTACGATTGCGACTTCGTTTGCCGAGGCGTTCAGATCAAACTACAGCAAGCCAAAACGCCCACGTTTAGTTGATTGTTGCTGTTACTGTCGCTGTTGCTGCGGGGCGTGGGAGTAGTGAATATAAAAGAGTTACGGCTGCTATAAATGTGTATAGTATATATGTATATTCATGTATGTGACAAAACAAGAAACTCAAGCCAATTCGTTGGGCGTTTGCCATTAAGAAAGTTATTATTTATGGCCATAACAAATATTGGTTAGCGAATTATGTAAAAATTATTATTGCTATTCTAACCAGTAAAAGAACGATGCTAAAGATTTGAGCGCCGACTTCAAACGAATCACGAAAACTCAAAAGCCTTAAGCACAAATTTAAATGCCTTTTTAAAGATTTTAACAATGTATAACTTACTTAAATAGATAACTTGGAATTAAAGAGTTCGCTCGCAATAAAGGCAATATTCTGTTCGCTTGGTATTTGAGAGGAAATCGAGTTGCCCTCGAAAGTATGCCACATTAATTTGTCCGCAAGAATTAAATGAGCTGCCTAAAAGTAGGCAGCATAAAATAATAAAATCCAATCCATTAATTTCTTCAGTTTGTGGTTTATTTTCAACATTTCGTTTTCAGTTTAAGCACAATTTGCATTTAAGATTTAGTTTTCATTTGCAGTAGACTTACAAGCTAATACCTGATATAAAGCTAGATGGAAATTCACTTGGTTACTGCACACTCAATAGACGGAGTTGTCTAAAATAAATTGAGTGTACGTATGGGCGACAAGGTGCTTAGTTTACAGGTAACATCCAAGTTAGGTAAATTGCGTGTATTGCGACAGTAGCGATTCCAGCCCTTCCAATACTTGAAGCCATCGCGTTGCTGTATTCTCTGCGCACAGGCAATGTCATCCGAAATATCATCATTGGACAGATCTGACAAAGTATATTAAGATTAGAGAGATTTAAAAATGATATATTCTGTATATGTTCCTTAGCTTACCTTCACATTTCATATTGCACAGACCGCCAGGGCGTCCCTCTGCACAGTAATCCTTACTATTGATTTGAAAGAGTCCATAGTTTTTGCTATTGTTCTCATTTCTCGTCACTTTGTTTGTGTCCAAAAAACTCTCATGTTCCACCAGACAGATCCCTAAAGAGATATGAGTATTTAATAATAAGTTTTCTATATATATATATATATATAAAAATTTCTGCTACTTACAATTGGACATCAAAGTCTTCTGAAATCTGTAGGTCTCGACCAGCACACGCGTTAGCTCGCATCGCATATACTTCTTAGACTCCGCCTCTTTGCCATTCAGCAGCAGGCAGAGCAGCAGAGCCGGCAGCAGTAGAACTTTTGGCAACATTTCTGAAAGCATTTTAAATATATATCAACCATTGTCACTTGTGTGCTTGTACTAGTACAAGCTAGCACGCGTAATTAAATGTAGATTATGCACATTAGTTCCAGGAATGGACAATTGATAAGCGACTCATTATATATGGGCATTCATTGTCTAGACTCACGCGAATAGCCAAACGGTTCGAAAGGCCACTTTTGTGACTGTAACTCGGGTGTTCCACACTCGATTGCCAAATGTGATAGGTCTTTCGACTCGATTGAACACGTTCAGTTGGTATTTAAAAATTTCAATTTTAAATCCCAGAAAAGCATATTTCCTGACTGAGCTTTGACTGATTTTTATCAAATCTGTAATTGGGATACCTTTTCAGATTCATTCATTATTTCATTAGATTGTTGAATGGAATACCCCTTCTGTTGCGTATAGCTTCAGAGCATTGATGTACTCCACTCCGAAAAATAAATCTGTTGACTTTGCATGACTGTAAGTCGGATGTATCTTGCACGATTTTGGAATGGAGTACGGAGTTTCGAAAGCATATAGATTCTAAGCATCGATTCTCCTACGCTGCTTCTCCATTATTTTAAAAATTTTCAAAATATCAACTTCAATCCGAAAATGACCTCTCAAAGCCTGCATAACTCTAACACGGACATACGTTGCCCAAAACTCACTAACTAGTCCCATATCAAATATTTAAACGTAATTTGAAGAAGTATTTCAAACATTTATTGTTTAAACTAACTGTGTTGGGCTATGCAGTTAGGAGTCTCCGGCTAGCATTTGATTTATGGTATGCGATTAATTAGCACATTGAATATTGTTGATAATAACAATAATGATAATTTAAGTTATTGTTTGAAGCCTCTGTGAAGTCTATTGCTTAAGCCAACAAGTTTCGAAGAACTGCTGCTGTGTAAACAAAACGTCAACAAAAGGAAACGTGTCAGCACATCTGGATAGCTGAGAGAGTTGACTTGTTTCCGAAAACCGGAGAACAAAAAAAAAGTGTAAAGTAAATAATATTTGATGGCATATAATTATATATTGGGAAACTACAAGCAGAAAGATTTATGCATGATTAGATTTTTATGGTAGAGCATCATCCAAGTGCTTTAGGTATTCAAAGCACGTAATTTATATTATTTTTTTGGCTAAAGAGCACCTTCCTACCTTTTGCGGACTCAATTATAAAGTAATTACAATGTTTACCTTTAGTTAATTAACTGAAACGCAGTGGAGCAGCCGCCCGGCGCAGCAATAAAAACTAGTTTCAACACGAATACGAATTGTGATATCTTTTATTATTAGTTGTTTTGTATCTTTTGTATTCGAGTTACGCTTTAAAGGCTAGACATGTGCGCCACAGCGGGGCCCCACACAGTTACTGAAACCGAAATTGAAATACTTCACAAAGTGTTCTTTAGGCAGCGCAGCCCCAAAACAAAACAAAGCCAAACGCTCTCATCGAATGAGACGTTGGCGCTCGCCTTCACGAGTATTTATTGGCAATTCAGACTCTCGCAATTAGCTGCGCTCTGGCTCTGCGTTGAGCACTTAATACGTACTTTGTATACAACGAGCGCGAACTGACCAAGAGAGCATATTCGCTTTGATTGCAATGTCTGTCTGCCTAACTTTTCGACTATCTGTCTGTTCGACACTAATGAAGAGGGGCGTGGATATAGATAGAGATAGAGATTGAGATACGTAGAGATGAATAGATAAATAGATATAGATTGAGACAGATAGAGATAGATACAGTTATAGATAGAGACAGCTATAGATAGAGACAAATAAAGATAGTTAGATAGAGGGCTGGCAGTTTAAGAGCTTGTCAGCTTGTCTGAATACGCCCTCTTGGGGATTTGGCGAGTGTGGAACTGCAGTATTTTCCACACTCTTAAGAAAAGTATAATCTAGACAGTCTGCTGTTCTATGCATTTGGGGCGTAACGAATAATCAATCAATTCTTTCAATGCACGCGTATTATGCAGTCAGTTACGCCCGACTGCAATGTTCTTACTTGTTTGTTAATGATGTTGTTGTGCCTACAGTTGACTTAGTGATAAGATGTGTCTAAGGTGTACAAGCACATATATATTTATATATATATTTAAATGCTGATATTTATATATAAATATTTATATTTAAACGAAGTTCTTTCCAATTTAGTTATTTGTTCGCTGAATTCGATATGTCTCAATATATATATGTATATAATTTACTCTGTCTTATCAGCACTCACTATATATTCTTTATCTGAATCAATTTATCTGTTCGGTTTTCGCAAAATGGAAAGTGGAGACATAAAAAGAGTGTAAAAAAATAGCAAGGTGATGAGTTACCCTGTAGAAAGTAGAGCCTATAGAGAGTTAAGCGCAGCTGTTATCTATGGAAAGAGTAGAAGGAACTTTAGCCATGCAAACAAGAAAGATAAATCTATATTCAAATTGCGCCTATCTATATAAAGAAGACGTTACCAGTTACCTCTCAGCTACACAGCAAACGAGATACCCTGTAAGCAGCGGAGCTAAATAAGTAGCTGGATAACTTCAATGTGTCATTTTATATAAGAAAGAAGAGCAAATAAAAGTCTATATCATTCGAGATGCTTTTATATACATAATTAAGAAAAAGTTTGACAACGAGATACCCTGTAAACTGTGTGCTGCATAGTAAGTGAAGTAGGGCAAAGTACTTTAAGCTCTTGTTTCTATATAATCAAGAAAGATATAGTCTGAAGCATACATTTAGCTTAACAACAAGCCAATATAGCCCTTTTCCACCTTGAAAACAGGGTATATAAGTATACAGCAGCTGAAAAAAAACCTATTTTCCTTTCTAAAGTTGATAATAATTTAAAAATAAACGCAGCTCTAGATTTAAGGACAAACATGAAACCCATATACCCAGTTTTAAACTCTAAAAACAGGGTATACCACTACTCAATGACTAAAAACTCTTCAAATTGCATTAATTAATGCTGCTTTTATCTATATAACAAAGAAATTCTAGAAATTTCTCTATAAACACGTAACACAAAACGTATATACCCAACTACACTTACTGAAAACAGAGTATAAGCATTTGCTGTAGCTGTACTATGTTAATATTAAAAATATAATTTATAGAAATATCTAAAAGATCAAGAATATTTAGATTAGATAATTATATAGATTAGCAGCTAGCGAATATACCCTTTGTCCCCTCTGAAAACAGGTTAATGCATTTCAATTGCATGTTAAACATTTCTAGAGCGCAATATTGAAATAAACTGATAAGTTGGATTCCTGGAAAAACTTAATCGCGTACAAAATGAACTCAATATGTGTCTGTTTTTAATATAATTGAAAATGCAATGAAAGTCGAATGAAAGGAGCGACGCTTACGGCTAACAGCTAGCATATATGTTTAGGACTAAGAAAGCTGAACTCTGAACTCCCGTCGAGAGTCAGAGCTAAGAGAAACAGTTTGGACCCCGCCGAGGGGCTTAGCAGCGGGAGACATCGGGCAGCGTGCGCCCACGACATTTGCTCATCCAGCCGGGCCAGGCCTGAAAGCCGTGACGATTGAAGATCTGCATGGCACAGCGCGAATCATCAGAAATCTCATCGTTCAGAAACTCTAAGGCGAGAGAGAGAGAGAGAGTGAGCTCTGTTGGGAGTAAATTGTTAGATTATGCCGTGGGCCTTGGGTTTTACCTTCGCATTTGATGTTGCAGATGCCACCGCGACGACCCTTGCGACACCAGTTTTTGCTGTTGATCTGTTAATGAGCTGAGCGAAATTAGAAATGTAGCAAAACGAGGCTAACTGCGCTTGGCATCTACCTGAAAGAGTCCGTAGCTGACGCTCTGATTGGGCAGCTGCATGGACTTTGAGGTGCTGCGGCCACTCTCCGATTCCACCAGACAAACCCCTACATCATATAGGTCAGTCGTATGATCGGTTAGTTGACTCCAGTTACTTACAGTTGGATAGATAGCTGCGTGGAAAATCGTGACGCAGCAGCTCCTTGGCCAGCTGGCAGCGTGTCAGCAGCTTCGATTGCGTTTGCGTCAGCAACAGGAGCACGCTGAGGGTCAGGATAAACACGTTCGCTTTACTCCAACGCATAGCCATTTAGAGACAGAGGCAGACAGACCGACACACAGACAGACAGACGGATTGATTGACTATTTGTTTTTTTTTTTTTTGGGTGCCTGGACCACTTTAATCCTAAAGCGCTTCCGCAGCAACTGACAAACTACAACTAAACACGCGTAGCGTACGAAGATGGGCCTTTTAAAGCCTCGCACGCAATTTAGTGGCTCGCGTCTGCTCATACTAGACAATCGTTCTCCACGAAATTGACATACATATGATGCAATGAGCAGAGCTTGCGTACAACTCAAGGTGGACAAATACTAGATACACTTTCTAGAACAGCACTGACTTGAGGTTCGAGATTGTTTTTAAAGATTGTTGGATAGATTTTTTTAGAAAAAGCTGAAGTGGAAGTGGGTATCGATCTCAATCTGATATTCAGAAGAAAATCTAGTTAGGAGATCTTGTGTCAAATATAAAATCGATAAATCTATCTGAGATACAAATTTCTATCTACTCAGTAAAAAGCAAAGGACACTTAGTCTAGAGATCTAGAATCTCAATCTTACTTAGTTATGCCTTGCTATATCTTAGATAAAGATACATTTCAGTTAGTTGTCATGGAGTTAACAATGCTTGGCAAGTAATTAGCAGAGAGAAGTATCAAAGGAGGGCAGATGTTGCTTTCAGTTGTTTTCGGAACTCGATTGCAACGTGCATTCAGAAGAGATCTTTAAAGACAACAAATTTATCTTTAAGGTCTTAGATAGAAGGAATTTTCAAGTGAGTCTGAGAGCCTGTTTAATTGCAACTATTAGAATTATATATGTGAGGATAGTCTGTAAGCTGTGTGACCTTGAGAGCAAGATAGCTAAACTTAAGTATAAGCTAGCTAGCAGGCAGGGAAAACAGAGCTTAGAGTCTTTGATGAAACGAAATCAATGCAAGCTCTGACTGTGATAAGATATTATTTTATATATTAGGTATATAAGAACCAAGTACGTAGGTTGCCCAAACTCAAGCCTCACACTAAGATATTACTACATGCATACACCAATCCATAATATCAGACCTGACTCTACTTATATACCCACCTCATCTTCATCAAGTCATCTCATAAGCATCTTCTATGGCAAATTCATAGTACGTGCAGCTAGTGCATAATAAGAACAGATACATACTTTCAATTAGCATGCATGGGGGCAACGTCATCATCGGCAACAACAATGTCACATGAACATTTATTGTGTTGCTTTCGCTTTTGCGTGAAATATATAAAAAAAAAAAAGAAAAAAAATTGGGAAATCGATGTCACGTCGGCATTTGTCTATTTTTCGAGCAGATTGCATACTAAAAGATACAAAAGTATCTTAAACTAAGACACACACACACAGTTACAGTTACAGTTACAGCTACAGTTACAGTTTCAATGCAATAAATCGCACGCTCTAACTGCGTTAAGCGCTTAATTGGCAAATTGTCTTGCACAAGATACAAAAGTATCTGTATCTGTATCTGTAAAATTGTATCTCGAGCTATGGCTGCTGCGCCGCTTGACCTAAAAAGAATTTCCACACACAATTTCAATTGACTTTAGCATTTTATGCAAATGCAATTTCACAAATATATCCACTAACCGTTTTATTTTCGTCGAAAACAAATGAGAAAAACTTTTCCATGACAATTTTTGCTCGTTTTTTTTTTGTATTTTAGCTGCCTGCTGCTGGCTTTAACGCTCGTTGCAGCCAATCAGCTGAAGGATCTGCTGGAGGATGCAACCACAGCAGCCAGCACTAGCTCTTCGAGCAGCACCTCAACCACCAGCCCAACCACTGTGAGCGCGTATGTCATCTCGGCGGCAGCTGTGCCCGCCTTTAATGCAGCCACGCCCAAGTCCAAGTCGAAGCTAGCCACGGGCAAATACTTCAATAAGAGTTCGCCCAGAAAACGCAAGGCCGAGGAGGTCTCCTCCTTGCCGCTGCCCGTGGACACGGATGGCCTGCTCGAATGGAAATGCCCCAACATTTCGGGCTCACGCAATGCGGAACTCGAATGCGGCTGCGATCTGCCACACACGTTGCGCTGCAACATCGATCTGCATGGACTATTGGTGAGTGGAGCCAGCAAGAGCTGTTAGAGATTACCTAAGCAAATGGTAGACTGATGGGTATATGATATGGGTAGTTCACTAGAAGCTTAGAGCACATCTGGAACTGAGTTGGAGATCTGGAAAGATCTTGTCTTCACTCACTGAACGAGTGGATGCTGTGGATGAAGCTAGTAATAGAGTTGGTTTAATGAGCTGATGATCTCTTTCAATCAGATCAGAGAACAGCTGAGGGATTCTACTTAGGATAGACATTCAAAGGGGAGCTTCTATTGAGAGATGAACTGCATCAGAGCTCAGCTGAGACTAATGAGTACAATCTGAGTGCAGATTAAGCTCAAGCAAATGCTGACTATGAATACTTAGCGCAGCATCAATTCACTTTAAAGCGCTAAATTGATTTTCCTCTCGCCCAAACAGCTCCTGGCAGACAGATTGCGCAGTTCGCCCTACTCCATTTCGTTGCTGGACTGTTCGTTGCGCAATGTGACGTTCCTGAGCGATGCCAAGATCTTTGATGGGATCTCGCTGCACGGCTTGGTCATCTCCTCTGGCGAGATCAAGCGAGTGCATAAGTCCGCCTTTCTGGGCATCACGGGTCCACTGCAGGCATTAGGACTGCCTGGCAATGCGCTGTTGAGCGTGCCATGGAATGCTTTGTCCACGCTGAATACTCTGGAGCGCCTGGACTTGGCCAACAATAAGATAAAGGCGCTAGGCACTGCAGACTTTGTGGGTCTGGGCAAGCTCATCTACCTGGAGCTCAGCAGCAACCAAATCTCAAGCATTTCACAGCGCACCTTTAGCAGTCTACGCAAATTGGAGGTGTTGAAGTTGGGCGGCAATCGCCTGGGCGACTATGCGCAGAGCTTGAAAGCCCTGAGCCAGTGCCTGAGCCTGCGGCAGCTGGATCTCACGGCGAACAATCTGAACGGACCGCTCAGCGAGCAGACGCTGCCTGGCATGCGAAATCTGGAGAGCTTGAATTTGAATAGGAACATGATCAAGAGCATACAAAACAAGGCCTTGGCGAACTTTTCTCGCCTGGTCAGCCTCTCGCTGCGGCACAATCAGATCGATGTGCTGCAGGATCATGCCTTCTTCGGGCTGGGCTCATTGGATAGCCTCGACTTGAGCTACAACGGCATTGTGGCCATTTCCAGCGCCTCGCTGCAGCATCTCACCCGCCTCACCGTGCTCGATCTGACGCATAACTTTCTGCGAGCTCTCACCTCGGACTTGATAGCGCCGCTGCCATCGCTGCGGGAGCTGCGTTTGGCTGGCAATGACATCTCGATTGTGGCGCGAAATGCCATGGACCGAGCACAGGAGCTGCAGAGCCTGCAGATGCAGGAGAATCCTTTGTCCTGCGATTGCAGCATTCGTCCTTTCGCGGAGTGGCTGCAGGTCTCCAAGCTAAGCTCCAGCCTGAGCGCCTCTTGTGTCACACCTCCTCGGCTAGAGGGCGCTCCTCTGCTCCAGGTGCCCGTTGAGACGCTCACCTGCGACATGGACAATGTGGAAAAGGATAATGCGAATATTATGGAGCATCTGGAAACGCTGGCCAAGCCCAACCAAACGTCAGCTCACGTTAAGGACTTGTCAGAGGAGGTTTGCTCACCCAGCGAGTTCTTTAAGGCATTCAAAGCTAACTTTTCGATTCCCTCAGATCATTCTACATGAATTACACTACTCGGCGGACTATGGTCTGATTTTGACGTGGCTGCTGAATCTGAGCAAGAAGGATTACATGTGCGATGCCATATTCGTTTACAAGGAACAGAACGTCAATGAGATTCTCATTGATAACTCACCTGTAAGTAGAGATGATAATAATCAGGGAAGTTGAGCCTAAGTAAATGGGAAAACTTATTGTATCTAGATCCACTGCGAGAGCAAGGTCGTCAATGGACAGAACACTGTGAGCGTCATAGTGCCCGACAGCTCCTCCCTGGACATTGGCGAAAGGTGAGTCCCTATGTACTCTCTATTTACTCTCAATATAATCTATATTTAGGATGCACATCATCTGAGTCTCTATGTGCTCTCTATATACACTCAATATAATCGATATCTAGTCTCCATGTCATCTGAGTCTCTATGTGCTCTCTATATACACGCAATATAATCTATATCTAGTCTCCATGTCATCTCCGCATACTCTCTTAATGCTCTCTATAAGCTCTTTGTCTCTCTCTCTCTGTATTCCCTTCACATACTCTCTCTATACTCTACATATATTCTTTATATACCCTACGTATATTCTCGACATAATATCTATATACTCTCCACCTACTCTCCACTCTTACTCTCCACACTTACTCCTTTCAGATGCTTTCTATATAGCCTCCACATACTCTTTATATATTTTTCCCACAATCTCTCCAATCTCTACATACTCAACATACTCCCCACTTCATACAGCAACTCCATATGCTCTCTCCACTGCCTTTACAGTATCTCTATACTCTTCACACACTTCACGCCTACTCTACTCTCTTCATACAGTCTACATACTCTCCACATACTCTCCACATACTCTCTACATACTCTACACATACTCTCTACATACTCTACACATACTCTACACATACTCTCCACATACTCTCCACATACTCTCCACATACTCTCCACATACTCTGCACATACTCTCCACATACTCTCCACATACTCTCCACATACTCTCCACATACTCTCCACATACTCTCCACATACTCTCCACACACTCTCCACAAACTCTCTATATACTCTCTCCAAGCTCTCCTTACTCATGCCTTCCTTGCCTTTACAGCTATCGCTTCTGCCTGGTCATGGTGCAGGAGCAGAATCCCAAAGCTGAGCTAAACATTGGCTGCTCCAACATAACGCAGCTGCAGCTGAGTAGTCCTGGGTCCAAGCCCGTTCTGCGTCAATATCAGCGCCGTCCTTACTATACGCCACACGAGCTTGAAGTGGATCCGGATCAATCAGATGGCGAGGATTATCAGCAGCTGAATCAGCGACAGTTTAGCAGTGGCAGCCAACAGCAGCAGCCGTTGCATCCGCATCAGCAGCAGCCGCCGCCGCCAACGTTGCTGCACAGCTACGATGTCATTGATTCGTTGCACAAGAGTTTCCTGCCAGGCCTGGGGCTGGGCATTCTGGTCACCTCGGTGGTTGTCCTGATTTGGGGTGCCACGCGCATACGCCAGAGTGTCAGTAGTGGAGCAGGCGATGGCAGCCTGAGCAGCAACAGCAGCAGCATGCATCATCACAACAACAACAACAATAACAGCAGCAATAGCAGACCGGGCACGCCCACCGCCACGACTTGCTACGCCGCCTCGGACCACATAGCGAGGATGGCAGATGCAGAGAATGGGACGCGCTACCTCAAGCTGCAGGCAACGACAAGTCTGTAAAAGGAAAAGGCGCCAACCACTCAGAGCCAATTGAACCAATCGAACTTGTGATAGTACAAGCACTTTGTACCCAAATATACATACATATATATATATATATATATATATATATATATCATAGAATATATATACACACATATAGCATATGCTTATAAGTGGGAGCTGCTATCAGCTGCTGTCTCACGCACTAATCCAAAAACTTGGCCTAACACTAACCCAATTGTGCCATAAACTAACTCACAGAAGAATTGCACCTGCATCGTGGTTTATCTATATAAGAAAGGAAAGAAAATCTAAAGCTAACATTGATCTATTGACTCATATAAAATACTTCAAAGGCGTCTGAAAGTTGTCTATTTGAGTTTGCAACTTTTTAGCCGACAAAATTGTTATATAATTTTCTATTTTGCTCCATGTTCATCTTAAGATCAGAGACATTTCAGACTAACCTCGCACATATATCTTACTCCATAGCTTTAAGACTCCCCTATGAGCAGGCTCTTCCATCGTGTCTGCTAAAGAAGCGCGCAAAACGTGCTCGAAAGCGAAACCGAATCAAACTCGATTTTCCAGGGCTTTAACTGCTGCATAATCCTAATTTCAGCCAAGTCTCCTGCAGCTCAGCAAGAGCATTGCAACTTCGGCTTGTCGAGGCAAACTGCTCCAACTTTTCTATATACTCAACAAGTTTTGTTAGCATTAGGCTTAAAAAGTTCTACGTCGCCTCTTTGACGTTGCCGTAGCATTAAGGAATCATAAGTCAAGACCCTCTAGGCTTACGCTTTAATAATTTATTAACCATATACCAAGCACACACAAGAAAACAAACAAATTGTAACTAAGCCGCAGGATAAATAAAATGTTGAAAGTACTTTATGAGGATGGCAATGAAACCACAATGCAAAGTCGCACTCGTCACATTGTTGGGGGCGTGGCAGCGCGCTGTGCATGAAAAATCGAAGCCTTGGCCATTTGGTATTTGGACTATTTTTATACACATACATAATATTAAGTGGACTATTAGCATGCGTATGACGTCACAGCGCGCTGAACTTTTCAGCTGAATTAGTCAATTACATGGGCAATATGAGCTCATAGTTTCTTAACCTCCCACAGGACACGAGACACGCAGTTTAAAACAATTAGCGTCAGCAACAAATAATAACTAAATAACATGGACAAGGCGGGGTGTGAGACATGGATATGGTCTAGTTGAGCTGATTATTGACTGTCGCCCAGCTAGAAATCAGAGTTGGCTCAATGCTGCTCAAATATTGCAGCACTTCCACAAAGCCGTGACCGTCGCCCTCAAGCACCCGCTGCGCTAGATCTACCCTGTATTTAGCGAGAGTGCGTGATAAGGGCGTATACATCACTTGATCCTTGATCAAGGATCTGTATGATAATCGATAAGTATCTATAAATGGCCTCGATACTTCTAACATTACTTGACAATTCTTAGAGTCACCCAAATAACAATCTTTATGTAAGATTAATTGTTATCGATAACCTGCCTTAAATCGATAAATATCTATTTTTAGTTCCGCTTCTTCAAGCATAACTTGACTATTGTTAAAGCTATCAAAAGGCATGCATGAGTATCTAATAGCTTAATCGATAATAATGAAGAATTTTTCAAAATCGATAGATATCGATATTCAGTTGAAACTAAAAACTTTTTTGATGAATATAAAGACTTCTTTCCTAGAGATCCTACAGACTTAAATCACCATAACTATCTATAGTTTTTTTTAGAATCGATAAATATCGAGAGCTCTATTATATATATTATATACCGATAAGTGGATCTACAGTTTCAGTTTCATATATGCGTGCAATTCATATATATTCGGACTACATTGTGCTACTATTATGAAGGGTAAGAAAACTTAATTACAGGGCATCGCGCAGTCGTGCAATTGTTGTGCGTATTTCGCTGCGGTCTATTTGTGTTGTGGTCATCGCTGATATGGCGACGCGTTAGTCCAGACTTGCCAAATGGCCAGACGTCCTCGTCGGCTGTCAGTTGGGCGACAACAATGAGCACGGCCAGAACGACAAAGCTGGCCACGGGCAGGACGACGCGTTAGTGGTTTATCGATTTTGTCACACACACCGACACACACACTACAATAAGCGTTGTGGGTGTTGCGTGTTAGCAAAAAAGTAAAGGAAATAAAGTAAGAACTAGGTTCGCAGTTCAGTTGAAACTTGTTTGGAGCTGGGCGCCCGCTGTGGCGGCCCTGTTAAAACGGCCTCCACATGAGCATGCTGGGCTTTGTCTACTTGGTGCTCATCCTTGGCTGGATATTGATCGTGTTGTTTCTCAAGTGCAAGAAGTCGCTGTCGGCGCCCTTTCGCTTTGGCGAGAACTACACAGATGCCATCGCGGAGACGAATGCCGAGCGTCGTCCCTCGGTGCATGTGATACAGCTGCAGAGCGAGGATATCGAGCAGGAGGATCATTATATGAACCATTTCCACAGGCAAACGGACAACTTGCAGCGCTACTCGCATCGTTCGACGCTCGAGGAGCGCACCATCGAGCGCACATATCCCACAGATGCGGTCATCAATCCCGCCTACATGCACGATGAGGACTATGTGATTAACGGTAGGCGTTGCCTGACTGAGCCCTAACTTAATTATGAATTTCAATTTTCTCTTAACCCTAGCGCCGCCGCCTTCATACGAGGAGGTAATGCGACAGCCGCAGGTGTATCCGCAGGTGCGACACAATAATCATAAGATTAGCGATCTAAACATTTAGGCTACTTAACATAATATCTCTCTGTACATATGTATTTGGATCAGCTGTGATTTCTCTGAATTGAATATAGAAAGATACATATATATATTATATATGTATATGATTTCGGTTACAAACTTTTGTTGTTTTGCGTATTTCATATATTTATTTTTGTGTTGTGGGCCTTCAGCAACAAAATCAATTCAATTGATTCTACAAATTGTTGCAATTAGCAGTTAACATTAATTATACACATATAGAAAATGTACAAAATGATTTTACATATGATTACAAACAAACAATCAGTCAAAGTGTATGTGTGTGTGTGTACGTTGTAAATAAATAATTCGATGAAAGTGTGTATAAGTGCGTGTGTATGTTTGTCGTACAAATTAAGTCGAAAGAAAACATATATAAAAACAAACTAAACTAAATAAGCATAAACATGTGTCGTCTCTATATATATATAAAATATATACATATATATATATATATATATGTGTGTGTATGTATATGTGTGTGTCCGTTTATGTGTATGTGCGTGTCGGTATTTGGCTAAATTAAGTCACTAAATTCGTCATACATTTACATAAATATGCATAAAGATTTGTGCCTTGGCTCAAATTATTCACAGTTCTAATGACTTGAAGTTGAGTTTCCGATTCCAATTCCGATTCGGATGTTCGATTTTCATTCCTCTTCTGTTTTGGCCCAATGTTTTGGCTATATATATATTTAGATATATATTTATATGCATCTATGTGAGTACTTTATGGACACTATGCATTTGTATAAACGCCTCCAGCTGCGTAGGTATCATGCCCTTAAAACTTATTCTGTTGCTGGCAATTGAGCGCGCAGCTAAGCATTTGAGACTCGTGTGCGCATTTTGATGGCCATGCAGTATATTGGCCAAGTTAGCTGCGAGAAAAAAGAGCAAAAATTAGCAAACAATAATGTTACTCAAAATAAACGATCCTTTACCCTGCTTGCAGGCTGTAGCTGCTGTTTGACCCGCTGCATTCACCGCATCCAAATGTGCTCCTGCCTCCACGAATAGCTGCAATATGCGCGTCATTTCGCCCTGACGATCCTGTGAGCTATTTATCTTCGTCACCAAAATATGCAGTGGCGTATTCCTGGCTACATCCACAGCCACCACGGAGGCGCCGCAGTGCACCAAAACCAAAGCAGTCGCATAGCAGGGAAATCTGACAAAAGAAAGCAAGAATTATATGGAATCCTTGACGAATCTAAGGACCTTCCTCACTTGCACATTTCGTTGGTATAGAACTCATCTATGGGTGTAACACCATTCACGGCCAGATGCAGCAGGGTTTGTCCATCCTGCAGGCGCGTATCATTCTGTATAAATTTGCGAACTACTAAGAAGAGCTGTTGTATGTGATCCTCATTGATGTCCTGATCCTTCTTGCGACGTGCGAGCTGAGTGACTATTTTAATTAAATACAACGCTGTGATGCAATTCTGATTGTTCTGATCCTGCAATAGACTGACGCAGGTGTTTGGCTTATCGTTCAGCATCTTAAGCTTGTTATTCTCAATCTCCTGCTGGCATTTGGTCAGCACGGGCAGCACGTGATCTAGGGTCAGGCGATGGTTCTCCACACGCAAAATCTGCGCAAAAAGTTGCGCAAAACGCAGCAAATCGCGATCCACGCTGACCTGCCAAGAGAGATTTAAATGTTAATAAATGAAATTCATTGAGTCAGCAATATTATCTTACATTGTTACGCATGCGCAGATCGATGGCATAGTTCCACAGCACTTGGCACTGTTCGAATCTGCCCTGATCTGCCATCACGGCGCCTCGATAGACAATTGCTTGCGGCAATTCCGGATTGTTTTTGCCCAGCACACGCTCCCGTATTGCCAACGACTCCATATGTATGGAGTGATGATTCAGCTTGATGGCATTCAACTCGGGCAAATTCTCTGTTTCGAACCAGCTGTCATATGCAGGTACCGGCTGTTGCACCTTCTTACGAATCACAAGCCTAGGATCGCTGTAGCGCATCTGCATGGCACGCATTAAATAGCTATAAGCCCGATTTACATCATACTTCGTCTTATCATTCGCATACGTAGCGCCCAGCAACTCCAGCGCTGTGATCTGTTCCTCCTTGCTCATCAGCCCAGGACGCTGTATAAAAGCCTCCACAACATCCTCATGCAAGCGCTCTGCAGCCTGCAATGCTGGTGTTATGCCTGCCTCATTCTTTTGCAGTGTTGCGCCATGATCGAGCAGAGCAATGACCACATCCAGATGACCGCTCTCTGCGGCATAATGAAGAGCTGTGGCTCCACACAGAGCTTGATCATTAGGTCGCGATCCATTCTGCAGCAGCGTGTTAACAACCAGATGATGGCCCTTGTAGGCGGCTATCATCAATGTGTTGTTGTTAAACAAATTGGTGGCATTCACATCGGCGCCATGTTCCAACAGAAACTCCACAATGTCCAAGCGACCTGTACGAGAAGGAAATACAAATCAATAAACGAAGCTCAGTTCTCTGCAAGCTCAATCAATGTTTTACCCTCATAGCAGGCAGCGCGTAGCGGCGAAGACTGCGCCTTGGTATTGTGATTGATGGAGGCGCCAGCCTGCACCAGCATCTTCACAATCTGCAGATGTCCCATGCCAGCAGCTACCCACAATGCGGTGGCTCCATAAACCACCAGCCCATCGAATATAACATTGCATTCCCGTTCCAGGTCGACGTCGTAGTGAGAGAGCAGCGTCTTAACGAACGTCACATTGCCTGACATGGCGGCCATTGTGAGTGGCGTTAGCGATTGGCCATCGGGCTGATCAAAGTTCTGTGTGAGAGAGTAGAAAGAGGGAGAGAGAGATGTTAGTATAGAGCAGAGCATACTGTAGAATGAATATGGGATTTTTACTATGTTGCTAATTTGTATAAGAGCTGAAAGTTTCCCTTTAGAGAGATTGTTTCTATAAGTGTGAACATTAAGAGCTTTGGTTTCTTAAGTACATGTCGAGACCTTTAGGAGCCAGGTATATAAGGTGTGGGTTCTCCAAAAGTATACATAGATAAAGAACAGCTCGCATCACTTCACTTTCAGAGCAGAGGTTGGTATGTAGATTCCTCCATAACAATGCTTACTCTGTTCACATTAGCCACAGTTCACTGTCTATGCATATTTTCAACTATTTGATATGTATTTGATTTATGTATGCGTGCTTACAATACAAAACCTGTGCTCCATCCTCTATAACCCTAGTTCACTGTCTATGCATATTGTTCTCTAGTTGATATGTATATTTTGGTCTTATTTTGTATGCTTATGAGATGCGTGCGCATATATAATATTTCGAAATACTTTTCAGAGTCAAGGCTGAAACTAGCGAGCATACGAAAATAGTGCGTTTTCTTAGCTTTTTGCAGCATCAATTTTTCGTTGGGGGAAAACGTGCATAGAAATTGTCGCTGCGAGTTTTCCTTTGTTGTTGCTGTTGTTTATTTGGTTTTTGGCACGGCGAATGTAAATATTACAAATGCGCACGCTCTTTGTCTTGGCTGCACAGATACTAGATATATTTATATATATATGGGCTGGCCATATGGACGCTGCGTAGTGAGACAAGATCCAGACATGGCCTGTCCAAAGTCCAAGGCAACAGACTTTGTGTTCAGGGCTGACACCAATTGCGTTTTTGGCTCTAATAAAAATAGCAACTGGGTCAAGAAACTCAGCAGACCCGGGACCCGAGACCCGCGGTCCGAGACTCACCGCCGGATAGGTTATATAGCTGGTTAGTGGCAATTGGTCGCTAGCTCCACGCCAGAAACTTGCGCCTGGCCAAGCGGATTCGTACCAGCGTTTCCGTGTGCTGTCAAAAAGTAGAATTAGTTAAGGGTTAATCCTGGCCAGAGCCAGAGAAACTCTAGACTTTACCGATATAACTCCGCGTGCATGGCCAACGACTGTATAAAATGACGATTCTATCTATATATTCAACTGGAGCTGTGACTCGTACAAAGGACGCAGCTGGACTCGTCAAAAAATTCGATAAAACTTCGTGAAGAGAACGAAACCAAAAAGGAATTCCAGCGCCCAACCCCATGTTTGCATATGGCCACAGCAAATTCATTTCTGCTTTTAAGAGGGGTTGTTCATCAGTCAAAGGACACACATTAGAGGGTAGAACGTGCGCAGGCGCCGAGCGAGCCACAGGCACAGCTGATGTGACAGGGGAGAGAGAGAGAGAGTACAGTGAGTGGGAGAGCAGCTCTCGCACTCTCAGATACTATGGGGGTTTGTTTACAGATATTGAGAGAGTGAGAGAGTGCATGTGTGGGGGTTTGTTTACGGTTCGTGCCAGCTGTTTGTTGCATTCCATTATCAACTACTAAATTCCGCTTAAGTTACGTTTATTGGAGACTGACGAAATTTGAAGCCTGAAAGGTATTTACTGAACTAACATAGTAGAAGCTTGAAAATATGTTTTTCTTGACCATAATATGCAGGTATGGTTGTTCCTATGCGCGTTAGGTGCATAGGGATATAATGATATGACTTAGTATACAATCATCTCTTGGATTTAGGCGGTATTTTCAACAAGTCGGATAGCAATGTGAACGTGGGAACGTGGGTTCGAGGGTTCGAGCTAGGATATTATTATTCGCGTCCTTTGTCGATAACCGACTAACTCGCCCAACCTTTATCCAATCTTCGTAAGTTGCCACGCTTCGGAAATGCTTTTTATAAGTACTCAAATATTGATGATAATTAAAAAACGCATAATTTCAGGAACTGGCTGCTGGCCAAGTTCATGTCGAGCAGATCCAGAAACAAAAAGAAAGAAAGAGAGCACACGCGAGGCAATGAATAATCAGTTAAAGATGAGACTATAATCGCGAATAGAAGATGACGAGGCAGCTTTTCGCCAAATAAATGAATATGTATAAATACATATATACCTATATACATGTTTGTTTGGTTGAAGAAATGCGTATCAAAATTTGTGAACATTAATTGCAAATTAACAATTACTGCTCGCTTGGCAGCGATAATAAAACATATATAAACACCCGCTAAATACACATGGAAATCAAATAGAGAGCGAGAGCGAGAGCGGGAGCGAGGGAGCTTAAACTAGAGAGTGGGGGTAGTTGGTTGGTCTTCTCTCTCGCTCTACTTCTCGCCCAGCTGTGAGATAAACAAAGAAAGCAACCAAAAATAATAGCAAAAGAGATTCGATTATACATATATGTATATCAAAACAATATACCTATATATATGTGAACATTTTCATTAATGACGCAGTAGAGTAAATTACGCTCATTACGCAAAATCAAATTAATAGTTATTTGATAGAGTTGCTGGGGACGAGGAGTGCGTGTGGAAGCTGCAACTTACCGTATTAACCAAATGAACTTGTATTTCTTTCGAGCTGATCGTGTTTAGGGCCTCAACAAATCTCATCATTTGGCTGCTGCGCGCTGCCAAATAGAGGGTATTTACCAATGAGAATTTGATTTTCTCATCGGGAAACTTTTTGTGCAGCTCCTCGGTAATTTCCACGAGCATTCCGTGTGCCATATTAAAGTAGCCAAATTCCAAAGAATCGTCATAGATCGAGGTATTTGCGTGCTCGTCCTGGTCATCGTCATCAATATCCATGTTGCTCAGCAGCGACGCCAACTGACGCAGCGTGCAATAACTAAGTAAACCGCTTATATTGCCGAATTCTCTGATCGCACAAAATAAAGAAAAACTTTTTATTGATACCAGCACACACGAGCACTTGTTCACAGCAACAATGTTACTATGCATGCGAGCCAATCGCTCAGTTCACTTGAGCTACTGATGCCTATCGATATATCGCATATGCTATGTTAACAGCAGAACAATGTTAGCGGCCAGTGTGACAAAATATATGTTAAAACTAAAAAATACGTTGCGCATTATGCAGTTTTTAAAGAATTTTAATCTATATATTACGCTCTTCGAAATACTTGTTAAACAGACCAATATTATTCTGTACAAAATTGAAGCGATCAAACCTCCGTGCATCAGATCGGCAGATTGCTTTTTCCAACGATTCCTGCTGAGGGTTTCGAGCCCTAAAAACCATGTAAACATTTAAAATTAAGTACGTCCTCCGATTTGCTGTTAATATTCCTATGAATTTTATTTATATTGATAATTAGTTTGATTGTTGCATGTGAAAGTATAGAAATTTAGTTCAAAATACCACCGAATCTTTTCTAGTATGGATGTTACAGCACAGTTTTATCCACCAGTGTGACCCCAAATTTTATTAGAATTAAGATGCGTTTCTTATTTGTAATTTCCATTTATTCAAAATTAAACTTATGTGCAAACATGAAACAATTGTGTGAAATACAGCTTGAAATAAAACATACATACATATATTTTATGTGCTTGTGTGGGTGTATATATAAGTTAGGTTTAGTGTTTTATCTTTTAATCAGCTATAGTTTCTCCTCTCTCTAAACATTTATATGCGAAATCAGTTTTTGACCTTTTTATGTTGTGTGAATTGCAGACTTGAAATTGGTTTAGTATGTTGCTGTTGAAGTTGATATAAATGTTTCTGTAATAGCAGTATAGAGGTGTGCGATCGCTAATAACTTCTCTCCTGGAAAACGTGTCATTTTTTTTTAATTTTTTCATTATAGAGCATTTGTGTCGTATATACGTTAAGCTTCAATATGAGATTTTTTAAACATTGGGTAACCTAATGTATATATCTATATATATTTCGTTTATATATCTTGCTGTGTCTATTCTCCAGGTTTACCCAATGTTGTTTCGAAATCGAGGCGTTCCTGAGCACATATTTTCCAATTCATTTTGTTGTGTGTTCTTCTGTTGGTATTTTGGAAAATTATGACTGGAACGCAACGATACTTGATAGCATATTCAATTATATATATATATATATCTACATATATATATATATTTATACATATATAATGCTTGATCTCTTTTATGCACCAATTATAAAGTCAGATCTATTTCTTGTTATTCTTATTTTGAGGGGTGGGTTGGGTTAGATGTGTGTGTTTCAGCAGTAGCCCAAGCACGAAATTCCAGAGTTGGGTTAACTTGCACCATTCTTATATATAAATATATATATATCTATATATATACATATATGTGTTGATAAATACGTATATATATATATCATATCTCAATTATATATATAGATCCATAATTCATATTCCATTCGCATTCTTTTTGTGAGTCTTTTCAATTAGGGCAACGACAACCAAGAATCACATTAATTATATATATCATATACATACATATTATATATATTCCATGTTCATATTCATATCCATTTTCACTAACATGTCCTTTCACATATATACTCGAGTATTATCACATTGGGATAGCCACGTGTACATGTTGCGCAAAAAAAATATAACTTGAAATTTTTACTTCTTACACTTGAATTTTGGGTTTCCAATTTGTTTCTAATCTGTGCCGTTCTTCAAAAAGGAAAGTTCGCTTCGCTTGTTGTATTATTATTATTATATTATTATTTTCCATTCCTTCTTTCATATTCATTATTATTCCTTTTCTAATTTTTTTACTATTTTTCTATGTTGGTAGATTCCTTTGACAAATTTTTGTGGTTTTTATCATCATATTTGGGTTATCTGTTTGTGGCTGGAAAAGTAAATTTTCAAACTAATTCTGTTTGTTAATCGATTTCAATGTATTTTTACATAATTTACTAAATTTGCTACAATGCATTGTGGATTTTACCATATAAATTAGGTATATCTATATACGTATGCACTCAACTAAAAATTATTTTACAGTGCGCTTCACTGCTTACAAATTCACATCTAATTCACTGGCTTTTTCAGCAGTAAGCGCTACAATATATATTTATATATATACATACATTATATAACTTTATAAATATATACAAGCTTAGCTACATAGCAACAATTGTGTTTCATAAAGCTGGTTTTTTTGTAACAATATTTATATCATCTGTGTGTATAAAAAGCATATTAAAATCTAAATTAACAAATTATATAACAATAAGCTATTCAGCGCGATTCAACTGCTTACAAATTTCATTCAGCAGTGCGCTGAATAACATATATACAGAACTACATTAGCTATCAATAGCATTATGTTTGTTGGAAAAGCATATAGCAAGTGCAGTGTTAAAAAGATAGTAAAAAGTAATTTACTTGTTTGCGCCGCGCCCCCGTTAGTTAGTTGCCGCAATGGGTACATAGTTGGGCAAGGAGATGCTAGCCGGAGCTGTATTATTTAGTGACGATTCGGCATTCTTGCCCTCCTTAGTATTGAGAGTGGGACGCGTGTTGCGTTTGCGTTGTGGACGTCCGCTGTTCTTGATAGGCGATGGGGTTTTGGTAGTAGAGTCCGGTACAGATGATAAGCTCTGCGACTTATCCCCGCCGGCACCAAATTCATCGCTGGCCGAACGTGAACCATTTCCACCGCCCCCGGACTTGTGGGTGGGCGCGTTACGCTTATTGCGACGACGAATGGTACTTGGCTTGATGATCGGTTTAATGGTAACCTTATTGGGATCAAAGAAGCTATCGAGTAATTCGACAAGCTCATTTTTATCTTCGACCTTAAGGCTTGCAATACCTTGCAGGGCAGCATCCAGCCCCTCAGCATGCTTTTCAGTCCAAATGTCATTCAATGTCGTCAAATCAAAACCATTCTCTGCCAGCACAATACGAAATTTGACGGCACGCACACGATGATAGAGCGTGGTCTTGAAATAGTTCAAGAAGACGGGACGAAACGAATTTTGTCGCTCTAAATGAACATTTTGTGTATCCAGCTCCTTAACATCACCGCTAATTGCCTCTGTGAATGGCTTAAGAGCGTTAAACAGATTGCCCAAGGCCTCCGCCGATGAATCTGGCTCAGCAATGTTGCAGCTGATGTCTAAATTACTTAGCTGCAGAGCCACATTGAAGGTTAGCTTGGCACGGACGCTGGCACTGCCATCGAACTCATCTCGCTCCTTTTGTTGGAGTCCATTCTTTACATGCTTATCAGCGCTGCTACTATTACTATCAGCTTCGTTATCGTTGACGTTGCCAACGCCCTTGGCGTTCTCCTCCTTGGCCTTACTCAATATCTTTGACAGATTGCGTAGGCTATAGTGTTTGGTATCGCCAACTGAGGACTTGGCCAGATTGAAGCTATTTACAAAAGACTTTACTGTCTTGGTGAATCGATCGAGCATGCCGTACTTGACCAACGATTGCAAGATCATATATGGAATGAACTTGCGTTCCTCATGGTAGAGCAGGACAATGCCATCCGAATTCGGATTTTTCGATTTTAATTGATCCAGCCAGTCAAGGAAGTCTTTTAGAGCAGCGACCTCTGATTTTGATTTGATGATCTGTGGAAAGTGTACGCAAAGATGTCCCCCCAATTAGAGATTTAATTGAAGCACAGGTGTATATCTTCTTTTATCTGTTACCTTGTAAGTCTGCATCGACTTCAGCATACGAAAAAATCCAATCGAAATTACGCGAACCTGATGACGCTGACGCGCAGCAGGATTTAGATTCATATACGGCATAATGTATTGCTCGAAATGATCGGTCGGAGTATAAGCTGCCAATTGGACAATCTGCCGTTTGGAAAGAGATTGAGGTTAGATTCGATCACCATTAAGTTCGTTGACCCCGCCCTTACCTCATCGATGAGACGGCGTCCTGTTGTATCGATGTCAACGGCAACCAGAATGTAGTCGCCATTTGCTAGCTCCTCCTTAATAGGGACGCCCGTCGACGCCGAGGACTGATCCGCGGCAGAGATATCAATTACTGAATCCATGCTAATGGCAACCATTTTGGTATATGATCTAACAAGAGAAATAAATACCAATTAAAATACCAAAAGATATTCTCTTAACCTTCACCGATGAGAACAATAACGATGCGCACAGATCGAAGATGAATCGCGAACTGAACTTTGTGCAGATTTTTAAACAAGCAAAAACAAATAACGGCACATTTCCAGGACAGTTTTTCGCAACGCCATCTTTCTTTCAGCTCTCAATTTCTTTTGTTCTCACACACAAACAGTGACATGTATGTATGTATGTCGGTACGTATATACGTATTCACGTATGTATGCATGTTTGTGTGTGTGTGTGTGTGTGTGTGTGTGTGTGTGTGTGTGTATGTATGTATGTATGTATGTATGTACGTACGTACGTACGTACGTACGTACGTACGAATATATATAGTAATAGTTACTCACTTACCTTTTCCACTTACGTTCGGGCTTAATTCGATGGGCTATTTCGCTTTTTACGAACTTTTTCCTTTATTTTTCAAAAGGGTAAAAAAGCGAGATTTGCTTCCGTTCGACGAGCTTTCACAAATAAGAAACAATTCGTAAGACTAACAAAAACGAAATGAATACAAATCAAATTGCAGCTAGGCATGTGCCGAAAATTTCAATTTCAAAGCCTACTACAAATTACTTTGTTAGCTAAGTACAATGGTCAGCGAAGCTAAAATAGTGCATCCACAGTGCAACAATTCACACGAATTAAGTCTGACTCTTATTTATTTTTCATTTACTCTATTTCTATATATATATATGTTTGTCTTTATCCCACTTTTTAATTACAACTCGTTGGAAAGTGAAATAAGCCGGCGCACTTATTACACATGCAACAGCTTTAAGCCCAAAACGCACGAACGGGAGAGCACAGAACACTGATAAGCTGCAGTGTTGCGAAATGTATTACAGTTCTATGCGGGTTGCTGGCAAACTAAATCAAACCAAAAGAGAGCAAATCTGACATTGTGCTTGCAGTTTCCAATGCTTCACGCATTTGAGTGTTAATTGCAAAAAAAACTGTTACAAATGCCATTGCGCAGAGCGCTTTTGACGTCACAGACGCACACCAACCAGGGCTGCATTTCCGCGGGAACATATCGAACTAACATAGACCATATGGCAACGAAAACGAGAGAACTAACATTAGAAGATTTGCTCATGTTTATTTAGTTCAAAAATTGCGCGTACATGTCCATATGACGTCACAAATTAGCAAGTACTTGGAGCGTGAGTAGACTTGCGCAGTGGCTTACCTTGTAGTTTCGTACTTGTATTGCAGCCCTGCTGATACCAAAACAAAAATCAGCTGTCTTAGAAAATTTAAGTTCGTTGTGATTGCATAGTAAATGCTATTTGTTTAAACATCACACAAAGTTAAATATAATACTTCAAAATTAATAGAACATTACGCTGGACGGCAAATGATTATAGACCATCGACAACAAAACGATAATAGCAGTACAGAGACAGCAAGGCACTCTCTTCGAAGCAATGCGTAAAAGATAAAAACACGGAGGCGATAAGAGCAACCCAATCAAACGTGCCAAACAACAGATACCCATACAACTATACACCTAGACAAACGCACACACAAACAGTTATTCACAGGGGCATAATTAGAGCAAACAGCAAAACGCTAAATATGTTGTCTTACATTAAGCGCAAACTCTCCGAATCAGACAGCGGCAGCAACAATAGCAACAGCAACAGCAATTCAACAGCCGCCGCGGATCTCGTTCGAAAAACAAGTCAAATGTCATTAGACAATGGTGCAATTGCCTATGGAGAGGATGCTTTATTACATGAGCTGGGTTATCGCAATGCCACAGATCTACAAGAGACAATCTATGGTAACGAGAGTATTGCAGATTAATTGATAATAATTATATAATTAGCATATGTTGCTTTATGCTTACAGATCTGTTGCGCACCATACGCGATCCGGAGAAGCCTTGCACGCTGGAGGACTTAAATGTTATCTATGAGGATGGGATTTTCGTGATGCAGCCAACGCGTTCGAATGTCTCAGTGGTAAGTGAAACTATGGACTACATAAACTGTGCTACTGTACTACTGCGCTGTGTTGCTATTGTTATACTGTGAAACTGTGCTACTATGTTACTGTACTATATTACTTCTGTACTACTGTACTACTGTATGTTTGGACTGCTGGACTACTGGACTACAAGATTACTGGAAAACTTGTCTACTGCTCTACTGAACTACTGGAAAACTGGACTACTAGACTACTGGAATACTGGACTACTACGCTACTGTGCTACATTACAGCTGTACATCTGCTCTTAAATAATATTCTGTCTCTTTAAGGTGCGCATTGAATTTAATCCCACTGTGCCGCATTGCTCTCTGGCCACGTTGATCGGCCTCTGCATACGCGTCAAGGTGGAGCGTGGTCTGCCGCACAATATAAAACTGGATATTTATATCAAAAAGGGCGCACATCAAACCGAGGAAGAGAGTAAGAGTTTGTTATAGATCACTAAAAGGCAAACTTATTGATTCATCAATTGCCTCTTGCAGTTAATAAGCAAATCAATGACAAGGAACGCATTGCAGCTGCCATGGAGAACCCCAATCTACGTGAGCTAGTCGAGAATTGCATCAAGGAGGAGGAATAGATGTGCAGCGTGCAGCTGCTCGATTGTGGTGTATATAGAGATTTAAGTCGGTTTTAGCTTCTAAGTGTACCAAGTACTTGTCGCCTTTTGCTGTATGAGTTGTATACAAAATTAAAGTTTTAAGACTTTTTAAAGGGGAGAACAAATTATATTCAAGAGAGGCTGATCATGTCATCATTTTAGCAATATTTCTAAAAAACATTTATATATATTACCATTTGATAAAATGTATTTATATATTTTCAATTGTAAAGCGAGAGAGAGAAAGTTGGGTGTATATTTATGTTAATATATAGATATATATAGATATATTGATAGAACAGTTGATGAGTTACCTAAAGGTGTGAGCTACGAAAGCCAGTCAAACTTGTTTATACAATTCTAATTGCCTCATCCTGCATATGATAGATAGATGATATATATTTGCTGTTAGAACAGAACCTTGCTAAATGCTTACATATTTCCCATAAGTCGAGGGCTGGATTCTTATTGTCTTTGCTACCAATAAGCCCTAGAGCTATTTAGATAAGGTCTACTCGCTGTCTCTGCCCGTTTCATCTGGAATTTAAGCTACTTTAGGCCTTGTCTAATGCATTGCTGATAATGTAGACCCATTTTCCCTAAAGCTCTGTGCTATCTAGAGTAGCCCAGTAATTGTTGCTAATCTTTTGAAGAGGCTCGCACGAACCGTGTGCAGGGCAGTTATCTGCTGTGAAATTCGTGAATGGAATTGGCAGCCATGTTGGCTACCATTTGCAGATGACGAAACAGCTTATCAAGCCAAGTATGCCTACCATAAACGAGGAGTATGTGCGAACCGTGACTAAGTCGCTTATCAGCTAGCGCAGGTTGTTGCTCTTGTCTTTCGACACAAGAAATTTCAATTGAAGCCGGAGCTGGGGCCATTTTTAAACTTTGGCGCACAATTAAAAGCAGCTGCTGCTTGAACTTTACTGCAGCCAATATCGAGGAAGGACACAGGGCGAAGGACGTCGGACACGGACGACGGACGACGGACGAACAACTCTGCAAATGATAATAAAAAAAGACAAAAGCGTTCCGGCAAAAGCATATTGCGAATATTACGCTAATTGGAGCCGGCAATCAAAGTGGACTGCGCGTCTCAGGCACGTTGTGTCGTGCTCTCCCCAAGGATGCTGCCTTCTAATCGGATGAGCCAGACTAAGCGATACCCTGACCTGAACTTTGATGGGAACTTAGTCGATATTGTGGGAATAGACATCTATAATGATGAGAGATGGATCTATGGGCAGACAGACTGACAGGCAGAGCTAGTTCGACTCGATTGCTGCAGCTGTTATTTGCCAAACCAATACACCCTGCTTATTCATTTTCAATTTTCAACAGGGTATAAAAAGGCAAGAATGTTGCCTAGCAAAAATGTCCTTTAGCTCGCTCTCAACGTTGCTCGAGCTGCGTGTCAAACACTTAAGCTTTCAGCATCTACGCTGACCTTCACCTGTCGCAGGCGTCTTTTTCTTTTTACACCCGCTCACGTGGTGATAAGCAGAGTATATAGGTTTAATGCAATGTTCAGCTTTGCTCTAGGACTGTGAGCAGCAAGAGACCTTATGCCCACATACCCATATCTCGTGAGCTGCCTGCACCTTTGCAGCTGGCCCCACGTTGAGCTCCACCTTGGGCGACTATTAAGCAGTCAGTTACGCCCGTTTGCAATGCTCTTACCTTTTCTTCGCCTTTCTGCTCAAGGATCATAGGCATAGGCATTAATAAGTTTGCACATATCCATTAGCAAACGGATTTGGGTCCTTCTTTCCTATAAGTACGAACAGCTCTTTGATGAGACATCCTTCCGGCTTGCATTTTCTCGGAATTGCGGCCCATTATTATGATTGCAACTGCCATAAAAACGGGCCACCACGAATGGCCCCACTCGCATTTACTCTCAAATTAACATTCGGATTTCAGTCAACGTTCATATCTTCTGTATTTTATTGTGGCCCAGCGTGCACTATCTTGGTCAGAGCTTAACGACTTGCCGATTGTACTTGACTAGCTTCTAAAAAGACATGTGTATGTAGTATAGTATATTACTATATCATAGAGTATGGAATCATTTTTATTACATATATATCTCACTGTGCACTACTTGCATAATTTATATGTTAAGGAGCTTCCGGGAGAGCTCTTTCTTCAGTAGGTATGTAGGTACATACATATATATGTCTATTTCAATTCAGTTAGCAACTGTAGGAAGTTCTCTCTGGGGATCGACGTTAGGGCTGATCACACCTGTTTATATTGCTCTGCTTCTTCTTATTCTTTCAGCTTGCTTTGCTCCTTTCATCTTATCTTTTCTTCTTCTACTTTTGCTTCTGTAACTTTATCTTCAACTCCTTCTGCCTATATTAAAATATCTAAATATTTTTGTTTTACCTTTTCTTTTATTTTTCTTCTTCCTTTTAACTTCTCTTCGTCTAATTTATTCTAGTTCGCCATTTTAAAAATTCTTACTCTTCTGCTTTCACTCTTTCTTGTTCTTATTCTTCTTTTACTCTTCCTTGTTTTTCTTCTCACACTTTTTCTTGCTCTTCTGCGAATCCTTTTTCTTCTTTCACATTTTTTTGTTTTTTTTTTTTACTTCTTTTGCTTTGTCTTGTTCTTCTTCTTCTTCTTCTTCTTTTACACTATTTCGTTTTTTTTCTTCTCACACTTTTTCTTGCTAATCCTTTTTCTTCTTTCACATTTTTTTTTTGTTGTTTTTTACTTCTTTTGCTTTGTCTTGTTCTTCTTCTTATTCTTCTTCTTTTACACTATTTCGTTTTTTTTCTTCTTTTACTTTCTCTTGTTTGTTTTTTCTCCTTTATCTCTTTTCACTTTTTACCTTTCACTTTTCAGGGCATTCAAACTTCGGCTCTTCATGCCTTTCATGCCAAAATGTGCCCAATTTGTTGTTGCTCGACATTTTGCTGTCGTGTTGCTACTTATGTACATGCAATTGTAATACATAATTGTTGTAGTTGCTTGTATAATACACTACAAAAGGTTACACAAGGGGCATATCAGTTGCTGAGAAGCCTCGCTATATTAATAAGAAATTTGCAGTTTAGGATATGTTGGAGATATACCTAAGATATAGATAGATGTAGAGACATGTGAATTGATGTATGTAATGATGTATGTACATACATATATATGTCTATTTCAATACAGTTACCAACTGTAGGTAGTTCTCTCTAGGGATCGACGTTAGGGCTGATCACACGTGTCCACGTGCTGCTCGCTGAGCGAGTATTAAGCAGTGCGTGGCTTTATTTATTTATTGTTGCTGTTGCAGGTCAGGCTCATCAGTCGCTTAAGGCCGGAAGTAACACTTGATGGCTTGATGTTGCGGTGCTCGTGCTTACGCCGCGTATGCGCAATATGCAAAGCTGTGGCAACAGCAATTGCAACTGCCTTCGGCTGACCATGCCCACAGTCACAGACAGCGGGCAATAACAACAATGACAACAAGGACCACCGGGGCAACTTATGCAATAGCAGCAGCAGCAATCGTGACCAGACAGCAGCCGGAGCTGAAGCTGGGGTGCAGCTGAAGTCGGGGCTTTGAGCTTTTATTGTTTGCACAGCACTTAATTTCTGTTGCACTCGGCTTTGCCATTTACTTTTGCACGTAAAATGTGCCAACGTTATGAAAGCGGTCCGCCTGCTACCCCACGTACTGATTGGTGGCGGCGGGCGTGGCAGTGGGCCTGGTGGCGTCTCCCAAGCGGAAGTGGTCGCGTGCGTCGCATCCTGTCAGCAATTATGGTGGCCCCTAGCAGCACCAGCACCAGCAGCAGCAGCAGCAGCAGCAGCGGAGACAGCGGTAAGGGCAGCCAACAACAATTACACTTACCCAGACAGATGTTGTTATGCTTGTTGTTGTTGTTGTTGTTGTTGTTGTAGTCAGCGCAGCGTTGTAAGCCATTTTAATTGCTTGTCTCTTTTTAATTTTCAGCTCTTTTGTTACTGTTCCATGTTGCGAGTGTGTGTGTGTGTGAGTGTGTGTGTTGCTCCTTTATTATTCATGCTTGCATTTCCTGCACACTCACACACACACACACACACGCTCTTCACTCTTTATATAAGCGCATTTATGCAGATATCTGTGCTGACTTTCTTAACCTGAACTCAGCCCATTAAATTGGCCGAGCAGAGGTCTCTGCTCTTTGCACTCGGCTCGTTTAAGTGTTGTCCATTTGCTAGCGAACGAACTAATGTCGACTGCACATCAAATGACATTTGAGCCCCAACCCCGGCTGACCAGTCGACGCTTGCTCGTGCCATTAACAAAGCTACGTTTTGGCCACACAATAGCTGAGGCTACACATACATCTATGGATCTGCTAAGGTGGGCATTCAGCAGTTCCCTGCGCCTCTAATCGATAATAAAATGGCAACGAGACAACTGCATTGGTCAGCAGCAAATAATTGAAACATTGCCCCTTGAATGGCATCGCATTCAGAGAGTTTGTAAAATGGAAGTGAGACACGATCAAGGAGGCAAGTAGAGGGAGGCTGTGGAAATTGGATACCTAAAAGACGGGCCAGCAGGCAGGCAGCAGTGTGTGGATACCAGGAGTTGCACTGAATCAGTTGCTCAGCTACTGTTACTGGTAGATATACGAAAAGTAGGTCAATTTATATCTTCATAAGTGTCTAAGCACTAAATTTAATAACTCTAGTTCTTATACATAAAAATAGTGTGAGGTATCCAAGAGCTAGCCATTCAAAGGGGAGATTACAGCAACTGAAATAGCTTTTATCTAATTATACCTAACAATAACTCACAGACCCCATAGCCATCATAGTGCTCAAAATATTAAAAATTCCAACTTTAGTATATGTCTATACTGAAGAAGACTTGTCATGCCAAATCTGATATCTTTAGCTCTCAAAATTCTCGAGTTATGCTTGAAAAACTGAATATTTGAAATGATTTTATGTTTGGAAATGATAGAAAGTTAGACTTGATAGGAAATACTAAAATAGTTTTCATTTCTAGATTCTAGACTGTAGATGGATTTAGTATATATATACATATATATTTATATATTTATATACTTTAAGATTCAGGATGTGCTCTCTTCTAGTTGATTTCTTCCATTGATTAATCTATTGCATTTGTCGCCTTTTAAGTTTGTTTAAAAACTGTTAAAATA